AATAATGACTTAATGACACTTACCTACCCACAAACTTTTAAAATACAATTTTGCTATCCAAATTTATATTTCATCAGTGAACAAAGAGTAAACTCGGTCTAGGCCATTGAGACTTTTGAAAAGGGGACACCGATGCGTCTTTTTGTGGTGAAAGGTTGGATTTTGATGGTTGGGATTGATCAGAATTTGACTTAGGAGGGACAGCTGCGTAAATCCTAATCGCTAGATTACTGGCGATTGGCAGGGCTAACGGACGTAGGGTTTGAAAGGTTTGGTGAGTGATGATCGTATAAGAGAATGGTGATAGTATGGGGTCATAACGATGTCAAAATTGAAAACGAAATATAAATTTGGGTAATAAAATGATATTTTAAAAGCTTGTGGCTGAGAAAATAACATTAAGATAATTAAATTATAAGTTCATACTTATCTGTTATCCAGCTTGATTCTTGCATATTTTAAGGCTTGTTTATCTAATTAATCTTGCCTTAACCAATAATGATTTGTTCATTCTGCAATATTTTCCCCTATAAAAGTTCTTTAATTATCTCACTTAATACCCAAAAGAGCAAACATATAATTAACCAAACTGATTGTAATCTAAACAGAAAATTATATAATCAATCTTATAGTTGAAGTTGATTCCAATAAATAATTAAATCTGTTAATCCATTTAGAGGTTGCTTATTTGTTTGTTTTGAAACTGTTGATGCTTGATTTTGACAACAACAACTCACACGTGTAAAATGCTAAGTGGGCTTAAAAGTTACACGTTGATATGGAAATGTATAGCAAGAGAGTGAATAAAGACGATTTTTAAAGTGGTTCGGATGCTCAAAAGCGATTCTTACGTCCATTGTGATTATATTAACAGATGGTTACAATCAGGACGCATGTAGCAAGTCGAGTTATAATCTAGAGAGAATTATATTATAATATATATATATATATATATATATATATAAAGAGAGAGAGAGAGAGTATATGTTGTTTTAGACTAAAATAAGTCAATCTCATAAATGAGAGAGGAGTCTTCTATTTATAGTGGGAGAATTCAAGGTAATGATTACAAGTCTGTAAGTCCTTCCTTGCATCCAATTGGTTGTCTGCACGAGAAATATCCTCAAATTGCGTAGGGTTTGAGCAGGTGTACAATCCCTAACCACTCGTAAGCTTGACATTCACCTGCTACACTGATAAAAACCATATCTCTTCCGTCCTTATGCGACGTGACAACGTCTGAACGGTACAAAATCTCCCTAAATTTTGATTGCCTCTTACCGACGAGAGTCCTGATTTTTTAAGGCATAACAGAAACCTTTACAAAAAGTGGAAATATCAGATTAAAAATTGGGTAAAAATGTTATGACTTCACATCAAAGTAATTTATTATTGTGAAAGTATTCAAGGCAGGATTAATTATGAGATGGGAGCGCGAGCAAGTAGCAGCCGCCCATATACAAACCTTAATTACAAGTCATGTTCTTATTCATTTCTTAAGGACCCAATGCCACCTGAGCTTCATAAATTTCCCCACTTTCTCAGTTACTTCCTCTCAAAGCTAGTTGAACTTGTCCGCATCATATATCTCCTCCACATATTTCATTAAAATGCATAAACCGTCAAGCTAAAGGTTTTGAGTTTATTCTTTCTTTCTTGTGGACGTCCTAATTTTAATTCTAGAAGAATAATTAGTTAAAATATCATGTTTAGTATATTAAAACCTGTTCTTTCTTGTGGATGTCCTAATTTTAAATCTAGACAAACAATTAGTTGAAATATCATATTCATGTTTAGCATATTTACATTTGAAATCTTAATTTCAACGAAAAAATAGACATTTTTCGTGTTTAGTATAACTTAATTACATCTAGGCGAATCATTAGTTGAAATATCATGTTTAGTATAGTTACATTTGAAATCTTAATTACATCGAAAAAATAGACATTTTTCGTGGTTAGTATAACTTAATTACAAGGACAAAATAGATATTTTGAAAGGGTTTATAAAGAAAAAAGTTGCCGTGTAATTAAATAGGTTTGAAGATTGACAATGATATGACACTTATTAAACGAAGAGGGGTAATAACAATTGACTCTTATATTTGCCCCTTCAAAAGGACAACCAAAAGAGTAAATGAATAAAAATCTCAAACAAGACTACTAAAAGAGTTAACCAACAAAGTGAAGATTAAGAAACCGAGAAAATTAAGCCACAAAACTTAACATTTTGGGTGCCAAAAAATGACCTCTTTGGTCTTGGTAGTTAATGTAGATGGCCAAATTGCAAGCTAACTCATACCTATAATTGCTGGCTGCTGCTTTTAAAAGTCTCGCTCTGGCGCAAGTCAAATTAGAAAATTGTGCATGTGCTTGTGCATGGGCAACCATATGGGCTAATTGGCATGGGCCTTATTTATATACATCAAACTCACTTTGTTGGGTGTCTTTTTCTAACTTTTCACATTGTTTTGTTTTGACTTTTGACAAATTTGAGTAGAACTTCTCATAGTCATAGCTGGTGCTTACTCTCAATTTAGTAAGCTATGTGTTGAAGATTATTTTCTCTTATGTTCATACTCGATTGGGAAATTTTCTCACTAAAAATAACCAGATTGTAAGTGGGAAAGAGAAGAAAATAAAATTAAGGGTATTGATTTGACGGGTCATTGCACTGATGACAAAGAAAAGTATATTATAACATATGAAAACCCATAACTCGTACATTCATAAAACAGTTGAATTTTGATTAATAAGGTTATGGTACAACTGATTAATCACGTGGAGAAGACGTGAAGATTTGACGAAGAGACTAAATTTGGTACAATGTTGTTGGTGTCAAGGTTCAAGTTCAACGGACCTAAACCTATTCGATTTAATTACAAAGTGTATTAATTCATTGCCACCTTTCAACGCTCATCTAGCTCCTACCAATTACATTTCAGGTACACTCAAATAAATCTTTTACAATAATACTATATTTACAAACTTCTCTCACAAATGTCAAACGTGATATTGAGTTGGTTTTATATGTCAAATCACGAACTTTGACTAAATATGAACAATTGTTATTAGGAAAAAACGATCGTTCATTCATAAGAAACGGTCGTTCCATTAATGAAGAACGACTGTTCTCATAAGGAATGGCTGTTCTCTAAGATGGAATGGGTGTTCCATCATTCATAAGAAGGAATGAAGATTCTTATGGACCCCTTATTCCATGGGATAGGGGTTCCATAAGATGGAACATGGAGTACCCTTTCCATCTTATGGAACGGGGATGGCCATTCCATCACCCCATCCCACCATTGGAATGGCTGTTCCTCAACCAAGAACGACCATTCCTCATCCAAGGAACAGTCGGTCCTCATCTAAGGAACGATCGTTCCCTATGGAGGAACAGTCGTTTTTTAGGTGTAGTCGAAATCATTTTGCGATCGTTCTAGTGGGAGCCGCCAACTTAATGCCACGTGTGCAACTTGTGAAAGAAATTAGTGAAAGACGTTTGTCAGGCTATTTTTACTCAATCTTTTAAGATAACATTTTTGTTTTTTTGTTTTTTTTTTCCCGACTGAGGAAGAAGTTAAAGTGGATGCATTTAGTAGATTCTTCAATTTAGATATTTTAAATTTTTTATTACTATTGAAGCACTTGAAAACATGAATTCAAAGATTTACCCATTCTATTTCAATAGATAAAATATTATTTTAAAGTGCTTTTTAACTACTTTGAAAACATTCCAAAACAAATACTTAATTTACCCAACTCTGTTTTGAAAACCTGGCCCGACCCGGTCAGTTTAATTGGTCTAATCGAAACCTGGGGCCTTTGTTGGGCCGGGTCACCATTCCTATTGTTCACCCATTTCAATCTCAAACCTTAGAAAGGAGAGCGACTACTGGGGACCAGAGAGTGGTGGGGATGTTAGGGGTTTTGGCAAGGAAGTGCCTGCGAGTAGAAATGTTGCGACGGAGGTGATTTTTGGTGAGTGAAACAACTGAAAAAGGCAAAAGTCACTTGCCACAATAGCGGGCTGTTGTCGGCAATTGGTAGGACAAATAGGGGGGTGGGATGGGTTTTGGTCAGGAGGCTAAGATGAGTGTTTTTGTGGTAATGGAGGGTGTTGTTGACATCGAAAAAAGGCTCTATTTGGCTTGGGTTGTTGACGCCGATAGTGGGTTTTTTGCCGCAAAATGTTTCTATTTTGGCTAGATCTTGGGCATATTTGCTGAGGAATGATTCAAAGGATGAGTGACATTTCCATTTGGTGTGTCGCTGCCACCAACCAATTGACCGCCGATTTGTATTTGGGGTGTGTTTGTTGGATTCAAACTTGTAGGGACTTCTATGTAATTTTTAGGGGTGTGTTTGCTGGATTTTAAAACTTTTGGACACGTTGATATCACTAGTTTGACCCGCCCGTCAAACCAGTTCAAAAAGTCAATCCGAGACCTAGGCACTTTGCCAGGTTTCACCCTGCGTCAGGTATTAAAACACTGTTACTCAGTGTATGTCTATAGATAAACAAATATGGCCTGGCATGAAATTTTTATAACAAAATTTGACTACGGACCTAGACAGATAATTTGTTAAGCAGTTCAACAGCTTTCAAATATAAAGGGAGTCTTTTACTTTGACCTTTAACTAAATTAATTTGTTTACCAGTGAAACAGTGACAAAGACGACCATTATATATATTACTGATTAACTTGAATAGGTAATTAGCAACGTTATAAAGTCAAGTTAATCAAGGGTTTATTTTCAAATTAGTATTAACATTATTTATGGCTTAAAGGCTTGAACTTTAATAATAATAATAACTAGTTAGTTACATGCAATAAATGTTATACATTCTGCTCTATCTCATTGGGATTTCTGGCTATTGGCAAAGGCGGCATCATAGAACATAAATAAAATCAAAACATGGTAAATTAGCAAGGATATCAAGTTATAAACATTGGTTGTTGAACAAGAAAATTCCAGCATAGCACATGGCATTAGATTGGACAACAATATCATTCCTAATAAATCCATCTAACTGATGCACATTCTGTCTATAAAAATGGTTCAGATATATGGGGCTTAAATTTTATAGATTTCAATAACATTTTGACTGATGATGATCAGCATTTGCAACCTTCTCCTATGGTTTAAGTGCTGCATCTAGTAATTTGCCGGAAAAAATCTCAACCTATCAAAATGTCAGAAGCAAAGCAGCCCAAGTTGAACAAACTCATTTGATGACCATGTAATATTAAAGAAAAGTAGAATCTCTGATTACATTTGGTCATCCGTGAAGTTGACAGCCAAATCCCAGTAATGCGCTACCCCAGCATCGGCAAAAACTTTCTTGGCAGCTGCTTCAGTCATGCACTCATGAACAGAAAATCTATTGAAGCTTGGTTTGGCCACACTTCCCTGCCACACTAGCATGCACTTATTGACGGGTTTATCAGAAATCTCATCTTTATCTTCATCTTCTTCATTCACTGCTTTCGCCCAGTCTATACGCCTAAGCATAAGCATCCCATATCTCTTGATGGATTTGCTTCCACCTTCAACAACCACAACGCTAATCCCCTCAGTGATTACAACACAACCAGTTAAACGGTTTTCATGGGCATTAACATCAACTTTGAAGCGGGTTTTTGGGTGTGACAGGTCATTGATCTTGTAAACTGAAACAATAGTATCAAGTGAATTAGAGTCATCAAATAGTTTTCTCTCTTTCTTCTCTCGGCGCTCAGCAGGTGTAAGCTTGCGTGCAACGTTCCTGTCAATATGAGCTTGTTCACGCTCAGCAGCAGCACTACGGATTTCTTTTTCTAGTCTAGTAGGATCTTGGGTTGCTTCAGAACCAAGAACTTTCATCAAATTGCTCATTTTAACTTTAGGTTTAGGGGGTTCAATCAAGCCTTGTCTTATCATCTCCTGTCTATCTTTCTCCCTAGCCAGCCGCCTCTGAGTACGGAGTTTTTTTTGTTCCTTCTTTGTCAGCTTCAGTGGTTGAGGAGGGGGAGGAGCTGGCTCAGCAGGAGGCTCAATAGGACGAGGATGTTCAACATAGATAGTGATTTTTTCCTTCTTCAGTTTATCTTCAACTATGCCACCATCAGATATGTCACCATAAGAACCATTAAGCAATAGAGGCTTATCCCTGAAATTCAGAGCATATGCAATCAGATTGTAAAAGTACCCCTTCACGTACAAAATATTAAAAAAAAATATTGGAGAAAGAGAGAGTATTGCATTTTAACCTCTGATAAACTAAAATATATAAATAAACCCAAATACCAAATTTCAACCTATGTTATAAGATTGTTAGCAGTAACAATCTTTAGGGTATGCTTCATATTTTAACATCTAATAGTAAAAAAGCAACAGGCTTCAAATGAGATGAAAATGGATCTGTTTCATCTTAACAACCACTCCTAGGTTTTTGACATACGTTTTTTTTTTTTTTTATCCAAATTTACCATCACTGGCCAAAACCTCAGCTGTAGTTAAAGATTAACAAGAACAGCAACATATCAAGCTGAACTCTTATATGCTATCAAACATATACTATGCACTCCATCATAAAAGGTCATTGAAAAATACAAGTTCTTTGTTCTTTGGGCAATAAGCAAAATGCAATTTGTATCTGCCCCTAGGGTGGGGGAACGGAATGTCTAGGTTCAACATGAAGATAAGATCGGACTTTTTTCATGTCAAAAATAGCTTCTATATGTAGATATCTCTCTTTGGTCAAACCAAGCAAATTAAATAAAGACTATTCCTTACTGAAAAATAAATTGGCATGTTATACCAAAGATTAAAATATATCAACTTACCACCACTCTATTTCAGGAATTGGGTCCTTGGGTTTTTCCTTGGTCACAACTCTTTCTGCTACCTCTATCAAATTAGGATTAATATCAGCCCCTCCCTTCACTTTTGCCAACTGTGCTTGCTTTGCCTGTCGCTCCTTTGCTCCAGCTTCTCCAAATTGACTCTGCGAAGACCAGATATAAATATGCATGGAATTTATAATAGTGATTAAATGAGGGCAGACAAGGAAGTGAAAAGTACCTTGACTCTCAGAATCTCAGCTTCTTTTGACCATTTTCCTTCCTCTACAAACTGGAAAGTCATCCGTTTGGGTCTTAAAAGCTTAGTTTTATTTACACCCATTCTCTGATCATAATGAGGATTTGATTCCGGATCCACCTCCAACTCAGGTTTAAGAATTTGGAATGCATCCTTTTTCTGTTTATTGATGTTGACCTGGACAGTTTAAAATGATTAGCTTAAAGCACTAATAAAATTAAGGGATCAAAACATAGAGATAACAGAATAACCATCTCCATGTGTCAGAAATAAACCTTTAGCGTGCTAAGGTTGTTTGGTTTAGTCACATTCACTACATTTCCATGTTCATCTATTTCCCTACCAAGTGCATCCACACGAAGAACAGGAGCCTTGGTCGGCTTCTGGGGAGCAGCAACATCTGTTGGCATCTGCCCAGGAAATAGGTTTATAAGAGGTGCAAATTCAGGGTCCTGACGAAAGCCCATCTTAGCAGCGAGCTCTTGAGCACGTTTAACAGCTTCAATGTTGGGTATATTAGTAAGGCCAGGAATAGTAGGCACCCCACTTGCAGGTGGCTTCACAGAAGCTGCTGCGGCAGCTGGTAAGTTTGATGAACTTGGCATTGCACCAGATGATAAAGCATTTCCAGTTGTTGATCCTGTTCCCTGCATTATTCCAGTACCAGAGGATGGCAGTTTCACTCCGTCTTTCAATCCAGAGACTAAGCTACCATCTGAACTTGTGCCCTTGTTCAACTAAAAAAATGAAAAGCAGCATTCAGTGTCTACCAAGGAATACATATTACTAAACAAACATAAAATTTGACCACATGAGAGAAGAGCAAAGAAACAACTTTCTCAACAGTGCAGATTCTTCTTACCAATGGTATCTTCTTCAGCTTTTCTGACAATTCCTTCTGCATTTGTAAAGCTTTCTTAGCTTTGGCTAAAGCATCTAGAGATAGACTTCCACTTTTCCCAGCAGCTGATGATGTCCCATCTGTACTAGATTTTCCAGGAACCTCATGAGATCTGGTAATACTAACTCCCTTATTTTCATTTGTGGTATAAATTGAAGATACCTTTGTAGGAAGGGGATGATCACCAGTGGCCATAGAGGTCTCAGGCACAGTCCTTGATACCACATTAAGGGATTCAAGAGCGGCACCCTGTAAGCATAAGTTAAATTCAGAAGTCAACAAATAAACCACAACAATATGAAAATGAAAAAGAACAACAAAATCTTTAACCAGCTCCTAACCTGTAGTGCGGATTAGTAAAGTGGCTAAAAATATGAAAACAAATCATAATAATAAAAAAAAATATTACTTAAATTGTTAAACATGTACAATTCATAGTAAACAAAAACTAATGAGCAAACAATTAACCCCGTATCAAACAGCAAATATATCATTGGAAGCAATGTGAGTTTGCTAGTTTCAAAAATTGGTCCAATCCATAATACACTATTATAAGTGTTTCAAAGACATATAACTACATGTATAAAACACTAAAAAGTTCGGAAACTTACGTTCGAATTGGCGGAGCCGCCACGAACCGTCGCATCATCATCACTCACTTCTTTCTTCAAATTAACTTCGTTAACATTGACATTATCAGAAACACCCTCGCTGTCCTCTTGTTTTTCGAAACTATCCTCAAACCTTCTGTTCCCTCTCTTATCATCCAAAACCCTAGCCTTCTTCTCCCCTCTCTCCTCGCTCTCTTCTCTTTCTTTCCTCTTCTTTCTCCCATCGATTTCCACGTCATTAGCATCCAATTCCTCGCGCTTCACTTCACGTTCACGATGCTTCGTTCCCTCCCTCTCATGAGATCTCTCTCTGTCGCGCCTCGACTCGCGATGATCGTCGTGCGATTTCTCGCTCTTGAAATCGTGGTCGCGTGAACCCTCCCGGTCCTCGCGCTTTGAGGATTTGTGATCTGACGATGATCGGTGGTAGTGGTGCTCTCGCTCACGGTGTTTTTCGTCTCGGTCTCTGTGACGGTGCTTGTGTTCACGTTCACGGTCACGGTCATGTTCACGGTCACGGTCGTCACGGGAACGTTTGGACGATTTGTCTTTGTCGGAGGGACGATCCATGGCTAGGGTTTCTCTCCAGATGGTTCTTGAGAGTGAAAATCAAGTGTTGAGCTAAAATGAGATATAACCGGCTCAATCCTAGCCTCTGCACGGTTTGTTTTCACTGAACCGAGCGGTCTGGTTATGAAACGAGTCGTGGCGTCATAATTTACGTCATTAATGTAATATTGAATTTTNAACAGTGCAGATTCTTCTTACCAATGGTATCTTCTTCAGCTTTTCTGACAATTCCTTCTGCATTTGTAAAGCTTTCTTAGCTTTGGCTAAAGCATCTAGAGATAGACTTCCACTTTTCCCAGCAGCCGATGATGTCCCATCTGTACTAGATTTTCCAGGAACCTCATGAGATCTGGTAATACTAACTCCCTTATTTTCATTTGTGGTATAAATTGAAGATACCTTTGTAGGAAGGGGATGATCACCAGTGGCCATAGAGGTCTCAGGCACAGTCCTTGGTACCACATTAAGGGATTCAAGAGTGGCACCCTGTAATCATAAGTTAAATTCAGAAGCCAACAAATAAACCACAACAACATGAAAATGAAAAAGAACAACAAAATCTTTAACCAGCTACTAACCTGCAGTGCGGATTAGTAAAATGGCTAAAAATATGAAAACAAATCATATTAATAAAAAAAAATATTACTTAAATTGTTAAACACGTACAATTCATAGTAAACAAAAACCAATCAGCAAACAATTAACCCCGTATCAAACAGCAAATATATAATTGGAAGCAATGTGAGTTTGCTAGTTTCAAAAATTGGTCCAATCCATAAGACACTATTATAAGTGTTTCAAAGACATATAACTACATGTATAAAACACTAAAAAGTTCGGAAACTTACGTTCGAATTGGCGGAGCCACCACGAACCGTCACATCATCATCACTCACTTCTTTCTTCACATTAACTTCGTTAACATTCACATTATCAGAAACACCCTCGCTGTCCTCTTGTTTTTCGAAACTATCCTCAAACCTTCTCTTACCTCTCTTATCATCCAAAACCCTAGCCTTCTTCTCCCCTCTCTCCTCGCTCTCTTCTCTTTCTTTCCTCTTCTTTCTCCCATCGATTTCCACGTCATTAGCATCCAATTCCTCGCGCTTCACTTCACGTTCACGATGCTTCGTTCCCTCCCTCTCATGAGATCTCTCTCTGTCGCGCCTCGACTCACGATGATCGTCGTGCGATTTCTCGCGCTTGAAATCGCGGTCGCGTGAACCCTCCCGGTCCTCGCGCTTTAAGGATTTGTGATCTGACGATGATCGGTGGTGGTGGTGCTCTCGCTCACGGTGTTTTTCGTCTCGGTCTCTGTGACGGTGCTTGTGTTCACGTTCACGGTCACGGTCATGGTCACGGTCACGGTCGTCACGTGAACGTTTGGACGATTTATCTTTATCGGAGGGACGATCCATGGCTAGGGTTTCTCTCTAGATGGTTCTTGAGAGTGAAAATCAAGTGTTGAGCTAAAATGAGATATAACCGGCTCAATCCTAGCCTCTGCACGGTTTGTTTTCACTGAACCGAGCGGTCTGGTTATGAAACGAGTCGTGGCGTCATAATTTACGTCATTAATGTAATATTGAATTTTACGGTGATATTTTACTATTTTTAGTTTTTGATAAAAGTTATACGAGAATTAAAAAAGCATTGGGCTTGTTATAATAGTCATGGTTTCAATTACCAGTGATAATTTCTCAAAATAATATTTTAAAGATATTTACTAAATATAACTATTTATCACAATCTCTTAACTATTGATATTCTACATATGTACATTTAATCTGAACATGATAATATTCATCAACCATTTAGTTATCACAACAATTTAGTGGAAATTATGCACTAAATATGTTCAATAAATGTAACTATTTACGAGAAATAATCTCTTGCTATTCTGCCTTTTCGCATTTTGTTGTTCCTAATATTTTAAATATATTTACTAAATCTAACTATTTATCACAATCTCTTAACTATTGATATTCTACATATGTACATACATTTAATCTGAACATGATAATATTCATCAACCCTTCAATTATCACATCAATTTAGTGGAAACTATACACTAAATATGTTCAATAAATGTATCTATTTACGAGAAATAGTCTCTTACTATTCTTCCTGTTCGCATTTTGTTGTTCCTATATAAACATAACAAAATACAATTTGAAATATCACACGTCTTTGGATTAATATCTTTGCAAGATAGTTATGACAGTTTCAAATATTTTGTTTAAAGATATTAATCAATTGCGAGATAATTGATATTGATTGTCAGGGTTTCTAGATTGTGGGAATGTTTTAATTTTAGAAGGGACAACGAGTTGATTAGTCTTTATATAATTCTTATTGATGAAGAGGTATTATATATTTTAGTTAAATTATACTCCCTTTGTTTCCAAATAAGTGACGCTTTAGCTAATTGCACATTTTTTTATGCAAACAAAAAGAGAGAGGAGGCGTGGGCATACAAAAAAGTGGAGAGAGAAGATTGAGGCAGACACGTAGAGCAAAGAAGAGAGAGAGAAGAGATGTGGGCCATCGCAAAAATGAGAGAATAGAGATATCAGACAACTGAGACAAGATAAGCGACACTTATTTAAAAAAAAAATTATACCCCCAAAACGACACTTAAAAAAAACAGAGGGAGTATAATTTTACCAACATTGAAATTGTGTAAGTTCGTTAACCTTTTTTATTTGTAATTATTTTATAGCATGATGTGATGCATGGGACTATACCAAAAAATTGAGTTGTAAAATTTAAGAACCAAATTCATGAAGGCCATATATATGATTAAAAATGTGAAGGTCATACCATGTGCTGCTACTTATAAGCCTGTTGAAGGTGCTTATCATTTACAATTTCTCATGAATACTTCCATCGAGGAGATCAAGGAAGTAACAGTTGCTATTCCAGAGTTTAAATTTCAATTTGCTGGTATCAATGATCTGCAAAATAGAAAAAATGACACATGTTTGTTATCAAGTAAACCTTTTATTACTATTCATGTTGTACATCTATATTATTTACTGTAATTTTAAATATAGTAAATGGTTTACAGATGTTAAAGGTATTTTGAATGGTGTAGGTGAGATCAAAAAAATTGTATCAACAAACAGTTATAAACGAGATATCATTTTGCTGATTGAACAGTAAGTCCTTTTCTGAATATCGTAATAATGTGGTACAATTTGATTATCTTACATTGATGTTATTTTCAAGGAGACATTTAGAGTTTCATTATGGGAAGAAATTTCGAAAAAATTGATGAGAGCTTGCTAATGGGAGATGACAAATCAGTTGTCATAATTATCACATCAACAAACATTAAAGAGTTTCAAGGTATTTTAGGCTTTTGATATTAGATAGAAATTTATGGTTTAATAATTCGTGATTTTAAATGTACAGGTAAGATATATCTTAATAGTACTTCGGGATCAAGAATCTATATCAATCTAGAAATTGACGAGGTCCATCTTTTGCAGAGAAAGTACGTGTTTTAGCAGCCTTTTCTGCAAATATTTTAAGAAATAATTATACAATTTATGTCTCATTTGCTGTACGATTTGCAGTAATGAAAATATTCCAGTTGTTAAATTGCAAAAGAGAAAGCTAAATGAGATATCGGTTGAGGAGGAGATGTTTCAAAATAGAGTATCTTTGAAATATCTTACCAGCCTTATGTGGTATAACTGGGATTGGATTACAGAATATACAATAAAGGCAAAAATAATTGGAGTCAATGGCAGATTTGGTTGGTGTTACTTATCTTGCAGTGTTTGTAAGAAGAAAATTCCTAATATGAACAATAGCAATTTCTACTGTGTTAAATGCAACAAGGAGATAAAATTTCCACAAATGAGGTGAATCAGTTTTTTATTGAAAATTAAATAATTGTTGTAAGACAATGCATTATAACGTTAACATTTGATATTTATTAATGAATATTGTTTGTTATAATAGGTATAAAGTTGATATTGCAGTCACAGATGGCACTGTTGAAGCGGCTTTTATAATGTTTGATTCAGTATGCCAGAAATTGGTTGGATTGTCATGTTCCCAGTTATTGAAAACCCAAGAAAACAATCATGAAAGAATTCCAGATGTTGTAAATGCTTTTTGTGGAAAGACTTTTGTTTTCAAAATTAAGTTGTCAGAAACTGATTTGAAACAAGGATATGAGACTTATACTGTATTAAAAAAATTTCCAGTCAAAGATGAACTAGAAAATGATTACAAGCTACAGCGATTGGAAGAGGTCAGTATATTTTATTTTTTATTTTAAGTAACATATTTTTAAAAATTCAAATGATAGCAATAGTTGCTTGACATTAACATGCTATTAATAGTTTATACAAAAATTACAGGCAGTTGAAGAGGAAGATGGAAAGGATTCATCAACAGCAGATGCGATTCAACATCAGGCTTTAACACCAAAAATTACTGACAAAACATCAACTACCAGATCATCTGTCGAAGAACAAGAACAATGTAGTACAATGCAATCTTCTAATTCAGGTACCTCAAACATAAGTAAAGAAAAGGGTGAAGGAACAAAACACCAAGAGCTAGAATACAATGAACAGGCAAAAAATATTATTGATAAACCTTCAGCTGTTGGTAAGAGATATCAAAGCTCTAGAAGGAAAAAATTGAGATTTTGAGAAAATTGTTGTTCTTTTCTTCTTTTTCTTGTGTTTTTAAATATTATCATGTAATATTTATTACTAACTAACACAAAGTAGATATTCGTATCTATTTTTAGCAACAAGTTTTTTGGCAAAATACAAAATTTCAATTGTTAGTGCAACATAAATATTTACAAACAGTTTCAAAAATACAAAGCAATTAATAGGTTTTTCCTGCGAACTTTATATAAGTTAATGTTTCAAAGATTATTGACATCAGCAGAGATACTGTCTTCCAGCATGGCTTCTTCTAAAAAATATGCACAGGCTTCTGGGAAACTCGATTTAAATGCTTCAGCACAATTAAAAGTTGACTACCTCTTTTTTTTCAGATAAATCATGTAACAAATTGTTAATATATCCACATATATATAGGATTCAAAGCAACGAATCCTTTAAGTGATACAACGCATCTCATCAAATTCACGAAATTCAACAATACACCTTATCAATATATTAATGCTCGCATTTATTCATGCATATTAATTATAACAAATATTATCTATATATATCTACCCTTTCACGTTCTGTACCCCTCCACATTCAATTAGACAGAAACAATGAAAGATAACATATAATCATAAAACATTTATCATGAATGTGAAGAGTTTCTCTTGATCTAATTTAATAATAATAAAACAGTTAACATTTACAAAACATTGAATATATCTGTTAGTAATAATACAAAATAGTATAAACCAATAACATGCAAACACTTGCAACAATTAAAGCCTAAACCAATAACATGTAGACACTTGCTTTTCGGGTTTTGATAAACATGTCTGTCACAATATCAGCAGCTTGATCTCTCTGTCTTTCTATTTTTGCAAGAGCAGGTTGTAAGTCTACGTTTTCATCCAATAATTCTTTTTCCTGTTTCTTAAGGACATCAAGCTGTTCCTCGACTCTTGCACAAGATTTTCCAACGACTTTTACAATCTCCTGTTTGTCTTTTAATTCATTTACAGTTTCTTCGAGTCTTTTTTGTAACAAAATTATGTCCCCAGTACACCTTTTCTTCTCAAGTTCTAGAATCCTCTGATTTCTTTCTAATCGTGCAATCACATTGGGTGAATCTAGCCACGTTGCTTTATTTCTAAGGACCCTAAGAAACCCTGTCAACAGAAATATTATATTGTAATTAGAAGACAAGTAAATAATTAGAAACCTATAAATAAAAAATGACGTAACAGACTCCACTCCATAACACTTTGAACTATTAATATCATTATGCTTTCAACATCAACTTTTAGAAACTAAAAAGTCTAAGAAACCCAGTGAACAGAGACATTATACGATGCGTACAAAACAAGTAAATAATCGAAAGCCTGTAAATAACAATAGTATAACAGACTCTATCCCCATAAACACTTTGATACTATCATACAATATTAAATGTATATACTAAACAATATAATAACCAGGAATTGTACTATAAAATGGACAACTATATTGACTAATTATAGCAATAACGGAATTAATTTCAAACAAAAATAACCTAACAAACTGCACCCCATAAACACTTTGAACTGTTTATATTATAATGCTTTCAACTTCAACCTTTCAGTTACCATGAGTAACCATTCAAAATAATAATTTAATTGTATTGATTAAATCATGACATAACAAACTATTAAATGCATATTTTTGTGCTCACAATTTAACGGTCATAAATTTTTCTGTTTTTTAATTCAAACATGAGAGGAATACAAATGAATCTGCAATTCACTGAGGGTCAACTTGGGAAAATGAGGCAATTTTAGATTGACTTTCCAAAGTGAATTAGTTGGGTGGACAAGAAAGCAAGGAAGAAGGGGTAAAGATATACTAATATTAGTAATAATTAACTGAATGTGAAGGGGTACAGATATATTAATATGCATGATTATATGTTTTGTTTGATGAATTTAGTCTGATTCATTGTTTATATCTATATAATTCTGAAGCACTTGATATTTGATTGCCACATAGGATCTCAGAAGCTCTATAATTGCTACAAGTGTCTGCATGTTATTGGTTTAAGCTATTTGGTATTATTAATAACAGATATCTATATAACAAGATACATTCAATATTTGTTGGATGTGTTTAATTAGATAAATACACTTCACATTCACATTAAATGTTTTATGATTATATGTTTTATAATTAAAATTTAATTTTATGATTATACGTTTTGTTCGATGAATTTAGTTTAATTCATTGTTTTTGTTTAATTGATTGTGAAGGCTAGGGGTAAAGATATATTAATATTATTAATAATTAACTGAATGTGAAGGGGTATAGATATATTAATATTAAAATTGATTAATAGTAATAATTAATATGCATGATTATATGTTTTGTTTAATGAATTTAGTTTCATTCATTGTTTTTGTTTAATTGAATGTGAAGGGGTAAAGATATATTAATATTAATAATAATTAATTGAATGTGAAAGGGTATAGAAATATTAATATTCATGAATGAATGTGAATATGAATGGATTGATAAGGTATTATTTCGAATTTCATGAATGTGAAAAGATACGTTGTATCAGTTAAATGACACATTACTTTGAATCATATATATATGTTGATATATTAATAGTTTGTTACATGATTTATCTGAATTATACCAAGTATTTTAATTTTAATTTCAATGCTAATATTACTATTTACTTGATATATATGAATGTGAAGTGACATATTTATTACCGTTCATGAATTCGAAGAGGTTGTTTGTATTAAAAGCAGAATTCATTAAATTGAAACTATGTTTATGTCTATCATGTACTGATTTTTTGTATGGTTTATCACAACAAATAGAAGTGTTTATGCTAAATTTATATAGTTATATAATTTCTCCTGTATCATAATATTTGTTCACGTTGCTTAAAATTACGTGGTGTCAAAGTTATTGTATTAGTTTTTCTATATTTCTTTGGTTGGCTCGGAATTGTTTACTGCTGTATTGCTATAATCCTTTTCGAATTTTTTTCCCAGGTATAAAACCTGATGATGGATAATGGTGATGAAGATATTATGGACGTAGTATCCTAGACATACGAAATATTGAATATTTCAAAATTGAAGAGAAAGAGAAGTACATAATATTACTGTTATATTTATTTTTTCGAGAATTCTGTATTAATATTTATTGTTCCTAAATTTTTTTCCTGTTATAAATTGTTAAAGATCAATATGAACAGACCAACAATATTCGATATAATGTACTTGAAAATCAAGGTAACTACTATTTTATTTACATATAACTTTACTTCGTAGAACATATATGCATAAATCAAAGTACATAGTGTTCAATTCTTGCTGAATTACAAATTGATCATTTCAATCTTCCATCACTTGCATTTTATCAAATTAAAAGAGGAATGTAAAAGATCTGTATAGCAGACATTAATTGAATGTATGTGAATCATCCATATTTTATCAATACCAATAAGCAGCAAACATGAGGACCAATTAACGACATCCTAAATAGCAATTATACAACGATTCTCAACAATCTTTAAATATAAAAACCTGATTAAAAAAAAAAAGAACAATAATAAAATGTTATATTATAATCAATATTTGACATTTTTTTTTTTTGTGAAACAATAATGGTTTATAATTTCTTAAAATATAAAAATTTGATAATAAAATAAAACAATATAATAAATAAACACGTTAAATGCGTGGACGGGTGATCTAATTTTAATATATTTTATTAAGCATTTAAAAGAAATTAAATTTAACCGCCACACTATTTTCGCTGTAATTCTTTTGCCGCCTCAATTACATGCTTAAACAAGAATCACACAACGGTAAATAAATATAATATAACTTCTAGTAAAAGGTCGTTTATAACCCAATCAATAAATTACATTACATAGTTAGTGATTTACGATTTACCTGTTCAGTCACTTTGACACTGGACATTCTAAAAGAGTTAGGCGACTTTTTCCTGACAAAAAAGAACTACCTCAAGACTTTTAAAATAACATTTTATAAAAATAAAAGGTGAAAATTATATTCCTTTTTAACATTTTCTATTAAAAACATTGTGAGGATGAAAATACCGGCACCAAAGATTAATCCCCAATCGTCGACAATCGCANTTATAATTTTAATATATTTTATTAAGCATTTAAAAGAAATTAAATTTAACCACCACACTATTTTCGCTGTAATTCTTTTGCCGCCTCAATTACATGCTTAAACAAGAATCACACAACGGTAAATAAATATAATATAACTTCTAGTAAAAGGTCGTTTATAACCCAATCAATAAATTACATTACATAGTTAGTGATTTATTCAGTCACTTTGACACTGGACATTCTAAAAGAGTTAGACGACTTTTTCCTGACAAAAAAATCAAGTGCCTCAAATTTTTAAAATAACATTTTATAAAAATAAAAGACAAAAATTATACTATTACTTTTTAACGTTTTCTATTAGATACATTGTGAAGATGAAAATATCCTAACCAAAGATTAATCCCCAATCGCCGACAATTGCAATGTGCCTCGGCCAAATTCTGACACCAAAAATTGACGATTTAGGAGTGATTGATGAAGTCGAAAGACCATCCTACCCTCATTTATGACTGACTTTTGACCATCATGTCCTTCCTCGCAATGAAAATTATTGATAATGGACAGTAAATAATACTTTTAAAAGTCTAGGTGGAAAAGCGTAATTCAACCAGTTTTTTGGGTGGAAAAAAGTCATTAACTGTTTCTAAAATTAGTGCTATCAAGTTGGGTGAATACAATAATAGACCTCTGTTGGCATTACGGCCTCCCTTCTCCTTTCAAGACCTACCCACCCAATAGAAAATTCTGTACTTCTTGATCTCATTGATCCAGACTTCATTTTGAGAGAATGAATCTGACAAACAGGACTTGAAAGCCTGTAAGCTGTAACATATATCTTTGTTGCATACAAGATGATCATAAGGTGTATGCATAAAATTGATAGGCATTTAGTGGATGGCGCAGATTTTATGTTCCCTGGAAACAACTTTTTCCAATTCCATTGACAAAGAAGCATAACAATTATATCATTTAAAGAAGAATTTCAGTAGAATCAAAAGCCAGAAAAGAAAAGAAGTTGCACACTGGAGTAAAGGCAGGTAAATAATTATGCAGAACGCTGTATTTAACTGTGCATACTCTAAGATAAAACACAACATTAAGCAAATACATTCAATTGGCATGCTTTCTACATGTATGCCATAAAACTACACAATCCCTTTCTGTACAATATATGTGAAAGAACTCAGAAACTCTTGGTTGAGTACATAACTTAACTAACTCTCCCTTGCTTCCTCTTGCACAATTTGCGCAAAAACCTTACTCATTGAAACACCGGCGAGGTCATCTACACTTCCCATACTGAAATCTGTGATGGATATGGTGCTGTGCGACTGATTGACAAGATTAGCTTGCGATGACGTCTCACCATTAGGACTGGATTTTTCTTCATTCCCTTGGAGTTGAAATGCATACTCCAAGTTCCACAAGACATCTCCCATAGAAGGTCGATCAAGACCACTCTCGGCAAGGCATTTCTCAACTATCTCTCCAAACTTCTTCAAGGATTCTGGTTTTATTTGATCCATGATCTTCGGATCTACAATGTCCTCCAAATGCCCTCTCTTTTGACAATTGATTGCCCATTCAACTAAATTCATCTTTTCTCTAGGAAGTGATGGATCAATCACAGGTCTCCCACACAGAACTTCAAGCATGACCACCCCAAAGGAGTACACATCAGATTTTTCGGTTAGTTGTTGCCTTGTCAAGTACTCAGGATCAAGATACCCAAAGCTGCCTTTCACTGCTGTACTAACATGAGTCTGATCTAAGTCGGGGCCAGTTTTTGAAAGACCAAAATCAGCAACCTTGGCCATGAAATTCTCGTCTAGTAGTATGTTTGCAGACTTGACATCACGATGAATAATTGTGTTAGTGGAGCCGGTATGAAGATAGTGAAGTCCTCTGGCTGATCCAATGCATACCTCAAGCCTCTTTCTCCAACTTAAGCTGGGAAAATTTGAGCCATAAAGATGGTTCTTGAGAGTACCATTTTCCATGTACTCATAGATTATGATCATCTCATCTTTTTCATCACAGTACCCAATTAAAGATACCAAATGGCGGTGACGAAACTGAGATAGCATTTCAATCTCAGTCCTAAATTCTGCAAGACCCTGATGTGATTGAGAACCTCCCCTCTTCACTGCCACCATCGTTTTGTCTCTCAAGACTCCCTTGTAAACCTTCCCAAAACCTCCAACCCCAACAACCAAGCTTTCATTAAAATTTTCGGTAGCCTCCTGAATCGCAACAAACGGGTAGCGATAGCCAATCTTCGAGCTGGAAAAGATGGCAGTAGCTCCTCCTCCATTCATGCCAAATTTGTCCTCTGCCTTCGAATGACCAATTTGTGCCAGTTTTTTTCTTCTTCTGCACAGTAGGAAGAGAACTAAAACCAAAACAACCACGACAAATAACCCAGCAGCCAATCCCACTATCAGACCAACTTTCATCTTGGAATCGGTTGAGAAATTAGAGTTAGACTCCAAGACATCAAAGCTGCCTCTAGAATTGTTTACCTTCATGATCTCCAACCCATTAAGAAATGCATTTGGGTACCCTTCCACTATAGCAGAAGGACCGACACTTACACTTAGCTTACGGCTATCACTTACTCTTATGATGGAATCCATGTAGTATGGGGCACCAATGGTTTTGGAAGTAAACTTTTGAAGATTAAAATCATGAGAAGCATACCATGAATTGATATAAACATTGAATAAGATAGGTTGGGGGGTGTTCGATATATCACAGAAGTGAAACCGAACCAGATATTCAAAACCAGGATCCACATCAAATATCCATGTAACATTTGCATTGGTACTAGGATTTGGCTCTGAGTTCAACATTGTGGCCGTGCCATAGACATCAGCCGGAGCAATTTCCTCCTTTGTCTTTTCTCCGGTGAAATTAACAGCTTTGACATTTGACACAAACTTGGCTAGACCATTATGCACTAGAAATGAATCATCAGCAACCCAAAGCCGCCATAATGGATCAGTTTGACGAGTAACGGTTTCATTACCCATATTTACCCGCGCAACTGTCTCCAAGGCCTGCTTCTGCAGATTTTGGTTACCAGTTTGAGAGCCAATAGTTGTGGCACCTTCAGGGATGAGCTCAGGAGGGAGCGAAAAGACTTCTATAGCGTTTAAAAATGCAAATGAATTTGCAAGAGGAGTAAAAGTGAGAACAAGCTTATCAGAAGTAATGTTCAAAGAATACTCCTTAACTAAAGAACCATTCCCTGATTGGTATTCTTTAATAAGGGTAAAACTTTGAGCGGAAACAGAGAATTTTGCCAAGGTCATATTGTATTTTTCATAAACGAAAGGGAAGAAATGGAGGCGAATCCAAAGTCTCCCTTTTTGTTTGATTGGAAAGGAGTAATTGGAGGGTCCTGTGAATATTCTAGCAGTGTGATACAAAGATGAATAATTGCTATTGGATGAAATAGAACTCAAGCTAATCTCAGCAGAAATGTTTTCCTGAGTTAAAAGATTGATGGAACTTGAGCTATCAGAAACAAATACACGATTATCTACAGATGTATTTGTGGATGAACCACAGTCTATTAGATAATTATCCTCAGGAGAAAACCCAAAAGAAAAACATATTAAACAAAGAACAAATGAAACCCATATCTCCAATTCAAAAGTCCTAACACTCACCATGATAACAACAAAATTCTGACTAAAAAAAGGAAAGAAAATTAATCACCAGCGAAAGTGAAAGAAATGGTTAAGATATCAAAAACTGAAGAGATGATAATAAGAGGAAAGCAAGTGAATAAAGAAAAGGGTGAGGCTCAAAATCACCTGAAAATCAATGAAGAAGAAGAAGCAGAGAGTGGCAAAAGTTTTGAAATATCTAAGACTGAGGAATGATAGGGGTGATGGAAATTGGTGTTTGGGAAGTAAAAGAAGTCATTATTATAGGACCTAACCTAATGTACAGCACTGCACGTTGCGAGACCAGCATTTAGTTCCATGGAAAAGGACCCAAAAGAGATGGATTTGTCCTTTGCTCGACGTTTTGTTTTGACAAATTCATAGGATTGTGAATAAAAAAAATGAAGAGAAGAAAGAGTAGGAGTAGACAGTAGAGTCAAAGTACAGTTTGAACAGACAACACATGATTGCAGAAAGAGGAAGACAGCTATGTGGATAAAGTAGCTTTTTCCAATCTACGTTATGCCATGTTTAATTATCATTCTCCTCTTAATTTGGATTCGCTTAGGCCTTGTTTGGCTTTCTTTAATTCTTTTCTTATTCTTAATCCACATAATTAGTGAGAAACAGCAAAAATATGTGTTTTGTAAGATTAATTATGATAATTAATCATTATTCATCATTAATCTTAAAATTATTATACAAAGAGATTAAAAGACTTGAGTAATAATCTTTATATAAAATACTTTAGTCTTAATTTTTTTAATCAATTTATGGTTATTAATTAAATATATCGGTCCGCACGTAACACTTTAAATCTTTATAAATAGATTGAGATATTTTGACTTAATATTTATTAATTTATATTTAATACTTAAAAACATTACATCTTTATTGAACCCAGTAGTTAAAAATATTAATTAAGTTGATATTTAATTAATTTATCACTTAGTTTTTTTTTTCTTTTATTTCAAAATATATATTTTATTTATTTGACGACATGTGAAACCAAACACGGCCTAATTCCGTAACCCACTTTTCTATGCGGTTGGAGTAGTGAGAAATTTCGTGGGGTGGTTCATTGAGAATATTTGGTGGCAGACAAATCAAAATATAATTATTAATATTGATTTGTACTTTATCCTTGTCATCTAATCTTCTAGCTAGAACGCGGTTTTGCCACCCACCGTCACTTAACATTGATGACGGGCGCGAGGAAAGTTCCTCTATTACAACCAATGGATGTTGATGGGCCTTAGTTGTAAAGCATGTTTTTGGGTTTCGGGCCCATATTTTGAGGAAAAAGCTCTTGTTGACTTTATTGGAATTTGACTTCAATAAATCTGTCAAATTTGTGGTCTTTTTATTTTATTTTTTTTTGGGTCCAATTTGATATGATCAACGTGGTTTATTTTGTCCATATCAAAAGTTGGCGTTAGGTAAAATTAAAAATTAGTTTAATCCAAAGAAAAACTTTATTAGGTAAAAACAAAGAAAGATTTAAGTAATTATATAGGCTGCGTTTTATACCCGTTTTAAAAGTCTATTCTAATATCTTATTGGGTTTAAACAATAAAGTCAATTCTCGTTCAAAAGAAGTTGTTCACATTAAAGCAAGACTCCAAGAAAAATAAATAATTTTAAATTAACTACCCGAGAATAGTGTTAAGTCATTCCAAAATGTTTATAACATCTCAAATACTATACCTAGAATATGCAATTACATAAAATATTTATTTGGTTTAAAGTTTTCTATATAACAAATGACAGAATAATGTTTTGTTAGTTGTTATGTCAATTAATTTGATAATACTATGTGATATGGTGATAATATTAATTGAGTCTTGACAAAGAAACAAAAACCATGACTTTTGTGATAAGTACGGGTGAAAACCGAGCCAAACTGCTCGCGCTCGACTCGAATTTGACTAGCTGAGTTGGATTCGAGTTCAAGTTTTTTGAACTAAAACTCGATTAAATTCAAAAAGCTCAACTAAAACTCGATTAACCGAGCTTAAATTCGACTTTTAGGTACCAAATTCTAGTTTGAACCTATCAAGCTCGACCAGATTTGAATTCAAACTCGAACTTGGTATTGTAGCAACCGAGTCGAGTTCGAGTATCTAAATCCTCGACTTAACTGGATTTCAACCTTTAAATAAGCTTTCTTATATGGGCTCATTTGGGCCAACTTACAATCATAAAAGCCCACAAAAATTCTTGCTCAATTTGTGGGTTAGTTTGTGTTTCAACATGAACTCTCAAATACTAAAAATAGTAACTATGAAACACTAGTTTGATGGAGAGATAGTGTGAATTGCGAGTAAATTATTTATTCTATCTTTACGTGTACGATTGAATTATTTATTCTACTCTTAGGTTGATTAACATTTGTTAGAATCAAAGAAATCTATCATACTAATTTAAACTGCTTAGTAGAACCAAACCCTGGGTAAATGAAATTATCTCAAACCTCAAATAAGCAAGACCAGAATCGAAATTACATTGAAAAGCTTTAGATAAAAACCTGACCATTGAAGCTTGAACCCTCCTTTTGATATGTCAGAAGCTATGTAAACTTCCATGGCATTGAGAATTGGGGGCAAGTCAGATCCATTCACTGGAGAAATAGTTACGTTTGCAGTGCCTAAAACTTGAACAGGGAACAATGACACAACTTGACCAAACTCAGAAGCATTAAGCTCCACGACATTCAACGAGAATCTCAAACTTTCTGGAATTATTTGGATTTTGGGACTGGTTAAGATTATAATCGAGGAAGAAGAACACAAAGTAAGCCGATTGTTGTTGGTTGTTGTTTCTGAAATCAACGTTAACAGAGATGGAATCTGCGGCATTTGATGGTGCAATTGCATTCTTTAAAAGACTATCCGGGGGTCGGTTTTCATATGAGAAACCCAAACATTCTCCAGGAAAGTGAACAGTGTTAACATCAGAGGAAACGTTGAGATAACCCGGCATTGCTTTTGGCTGCCAGATTCGAAACGAATACTCATCGCACTTATAGAAAGTCCTTGAGCTGCAATTAATATGTTCAGGTACAGCCATCACATGTATCATTTTAGTAATCTAAACAAAATTAAATAACTAGAAGGCTTCAAAACAAAAGAAAAAAGAATAATGTGTTTAGTCACGAGGGAAATGCTTTATCTTTTCCATCAAAAATTGTGATCGAGATAGTCTTCTATCACTTGGTGTGACCGGTCTTAAACCTTGCCCTCAAAGTTTAATGAAAAATACTTTGAATATAGACTGCAGAAAACGTTTTTGTGCGTACACTCATGGACGATATGGAAATTTCAAGTACCAATTATGCGTGAAAGGAACAAAACTACTCACTTTATAATTTGATCGAGGCCACCAAATGTGGTTCAGTCGACAAGATGCAACGCCGTGTTGCTGCCCATCAACTTGTAAACTGGCTTGGCACCCTCGGCTACAGGCAAAAGAGCCACAACAAGAGAAGAGATAAATGGGATTTCACCTCGATGGGTTCTAACCAAACACACACTGGTACTTTCACCCTTTGGATTGTACAAAATTTCCTGAAAAATTGGTCCTTCTTCACTTGCAGATGTATCCACAGTTGCCCTGAAACCACCATCCAATTGAAGATCAAACGTTGGGGGCTTGGACAGACCGTCGTAGTTGCCATAGAAGAATCCAGCTCGAAATATAAACTTGTATTGTGGATCCAGGAACACTTTCTAACAGTTCTTGGTACCTTGAGGAAAATATCTAAGTTTTTTCATGTAACCTGGAACGTTAATTTTTGGGTCATCGATAGGCTTCGTTTTGCCTGTGGTGATATAGCCATTGTCAGGGGCCCATGACATATTTTCGTATCTCTCCCAGTCTACTGCTCCGGAATTGATCAGAATCAATGTCTGGTTTTTGTCTGCAACAACGCAAGAGTTGAATACAGTGATCGAAGCAACACCGATGAAATTTTTTTTGCCTCATGTTAAATCAACCACAAATATTTCTAAACTTTTCTACGAAAGAAACATATATTGAATTTATAATCTAATTGTTATAACCAAGATCAACCAACCACAAACAACAATCAAGAATCACAACCAAAAACGCACAAGAACAACCAAGAGTTTTACCGTGGTTCACTTACTCTATTTGAGCAAGCTACGTCCACGTTGAGCTTGGGAAACATGCACAAGCTCGTTGCACTAAAACCACAGTCAAGATTACAGATTACACACAGTAACGGAAAAACCTTTAAAACCTCTTCTCCAACCCCGTAACTCACCCTAGAGATTCTACCCTTTCAATCCCTACTGATTACGTATACAAATACACCTAGAATGACCTGACCCAGTCACTCAATCACCAAGTTACAAGATCCAAAACACCCAAAATCGAAAACCCTATCAGACTCAATTTTGTGTCAATGAAGAAGAGAGAGTTCACGCAAATTACTGTGTTACAATCTGCCAAAATAAGTTCTGCTTTTATATGGTTGACTGAAGGACTAATTTTAGCCTTTGGATCTTCTCTTCATCAACGCTCAGGAATGCTTCTTCAATTCTGCTCAAAACGATGTCGTCTCATTTAAGCTATAACACGATAGCGTTTCAAGCCATCACACTTGGAACCAGTCTCTTTTAGGACTGATCATGTGAAACGAACAACCTGAGTCCATCAGCCACTCTTCACTAATGTCATTCATTGACACAGTAAGGACTTCAGGTTCCTTTAACATGTTTTTGGTGGTGACTAAGTTATTCTCTGTATTCCCATGTTTTTGCTTTTTAATCCATTCGAAACAATTCTTTTTAATGTGTCCAGTTTTATTGCAAAAGAAACATTTTCTAGGCTCTACTCTAAGCTCGTTGCTGCCCTTCCTTTTTTTCTTATTTCTAGCCCCCTGATAATTCTGATTTCGCTTACCAGTTTGACTAGACTCTGGTCTGCTCTTAACAAATAGGTTTGTGCCACTTCGTTTTTGGGTCTTTAATTCTAATTCTCTGGCCCTAAGTCCTGCTGTTATTAGGTCAAGGTTTGGTACAGTACCCGAGTACTATAGGGCATTCTTGACTACCTGGTAGTCATCAATCAGGGAGTTCAATAGGATCATAGCTAGACTCGTTTCTCCTAATGCTTGGTCTGTCCCTTTCAGGATCAAAGTCATTTTTAGAAATTCGTCTAGGTTTTTATCTATACTCTTAGCACTGTCCATTTTATACGGAAATAAGGCCCCTTTTAAAAAAGCTAAGTTGGGGGCAGATTGCAAAGCATACAAAATATTGAGTTTACCCCAAAGTTCAATCGCTGATTCGATTCCGTCTACCTTCCTAAGGATGCTGTCGGACATGTTCATGACTATCAAGTTGTATGCCTCCTCATTGATCTCCTCTTTCTTCTTCAGCTTCTCCTCTGGCCACTTCTTGGAGTCCTCTTCTAGTACGATGGCCACCTTGTTGTGAGAAACCAATGCTTTCATTTTTTTTTTCCAACTCCCGAAGTCAATCTTCCCATCATATTGGAAGATTTCCATTCGGGTGGTGGTATTTGTCATGGTGAAGTGTTTGGTTTGGTTTCTGAGATGGAAAGATCAAGAACTAGACCCTGTTCTTAAACTTCAAGAAACGGGAATACCCTAGGTTTATATTGCTAGTGAGATCTGTGCCACTTCGTTCCGAATAACACTCCTCTAGTCCCCAATTTGATTTCTAAACCCTAAAATTGAGAAAGCCCCAATTTAACGACAGCCCCCAAAAAACCCTAGAAATCTCAGATTGGAATTTAACCCGATATCTCCCTAATTTTTGGTAACCTTAAGCTCTGATACCACTGTTATAACCACACACACAAAGATCAACCAACCACAAACAACAATCAAGAATCATAACAAAAAACGCACAAGAATAACCAAGAATTTTACCGTGGTTCACTTGCAATATTTGAGCAAGCTACGTCCACGTTGAGCTCGGGAAACACACACAAGCTCGCTGCACTAAAACCACAGTCAAGATTATAGATTACACACAGTAACAGAAAAACCTTCAAAACCTCTTCTCCAACCCGTAACTCACCCTGGAGATTTTACCCTTTCAATCTCTACTAATTGCGTATACAAATACACCTAGAATGACCTGACCCAGTCACTCAATCACCAAGTTACAAGATCCAAAACACCCAAAATCGAAAACCCTAACAGACTCAATTTTGTGTCAATGAAGAAGAGAGAGTTCACGCAAATTACTGTGTTACAATCTGCCAAAATAAGTTCTACTTTTATATGGTTGACTGAAGGACTAATTTCAGCCTTTGGATCTTCTCTTCATCAACGCTCAGGATTGCTTCTTCAATTCTGCTCAAAACGATGTCGTTTCATTTAAGCTATAACACGACATCGTTTCAAGCCATCTCACCAACACTAATAATACCAAGTTATTCATTCATCTTTCATTTAAAAATTATATGATGGTTAGTTGTTATAAAATTTTATTAAACATTTATATAACGTGATACATCATACATACATCTATCTCATTTGATGTAACAATATGATACTTTATCATTAACCTGATGGCGTAATTCTTTTGACACTTATATGGATATGATTCTGATGAAGAAGCTGTTTGAACCATAAAAGCTATGAAATATGGGAAAATGATAGCCCATTTCTCCATTTTTAGAGAGAGATATTAGAGAGAAAGAGATCAAAGAGCTGTTGCGTTTATGAACTTTATGATATAATTTGAGGTGGGTCTGACTCCTCATCCAATAAGGTCTTGTTGAATAGGAGGATCACCCCCTCTTATAACCTACTTGCTGGTCAAGCACTCAGTTAAACTGGGAGGTAGTTGTTGGTTCTAACTCTTCAGTCAAACATTCAACTCAATTGAGCCTAGCTCTGATAACATGATAGAATTTAAGGTATGTCTGACTCTTCATCAGACCTTGTTAAATAGGAGGATTACCCCTTCTTATAACCTAGTAAGCTTAAGCATGCTTCGTCGGTGTGGAACTCCGAACACTTTACATTTATGTGAGCTGGACAACCTTGCTATATGGATGATCCCGATGAAATTACCCCAGCTGCAATGGAATTAAGAAACAACTAATTAAATAGTTTAGTTAATGTCATCAAAGTAGAAGAGCCGGCTTTAATTAATTCTATCTTGTGCTAGATCCACCTGTTGTTTTGCATGATAATAATTTGGATTTTCTAAACAACATCTATAAGTTACCGCCGGAATTCAATTTTAATCATATAGTATATTAGACTAATACATACTAGGTTTCATAAACTGATTAAAGATTACCTAGAGGATTTTTTTTTTTTTTTTTTTTTTTAAATAACAAAGTATAAATTACTCAATAAGATTGTTTGATAATGAGATAAATACTTTAATACTTGTTACATCCAAAAAAATTTTCTTGAAAATATCTATAACATGTATTCATTCATTCAATTATGGAAATTGTTTTTGTTTGCAAAGATCAATTCGACAAGTCCTTCCCACAAGAGACGTTCTAGATCAATAACTTATGTATACAGTAATGATAAGCTTGTCCTTTCGTCTAATAGAGAAAAATTAAAACAACAAATTAAGGTGAAAAACTTTATTTAATTTGCTTAAAACATATACAGGACATCTTCATCCCACATACATAATTAAAATTTAATCAAGATATGTCATCTTGAGCGGTAATCAAGAAAGGATCATTCTCAATCAAAAAAGGATAATTTCAACTTTGGTGAGGAGATTTCATGTCATACAAACTTCAAAGTTAAAGCCGAAGATCAAGTTTAACGGGTACTATATAACCCAACCCTAATACATTTTGAGGGACAGTAAGACATGCACATAGAAAGACTGCTAGACTGAGAAAAAGAGAAGAAAACTTGATATAACTCTTTGTAACTCACTTTGCAGATACACGCAATATATATACGAACTTCAGAGTTAAAGCCGAAGATCAAGTGTAACGGATGCTATATAACCCAACCCTAATACATTTTGAGAGACAGCAAGACATGCACATAGAAAGACTGCTAGAATGAGTAAAAGAGAAATCGAGAGAAAACTTGATATAACTCTTTGTAACTCACTTTGCAGATACACATAATATATAACAGTGAATGTCAGTTTGCATTATAAGTAGCCGAATCACTTTAAAAATCTTCTTTTATTCTCTCTGTTTTGTGTTTAATTGTTGTTCATATATAATTGTTTTATCCTGTCACTGATCCATCAAGATTACGCAAGCATCCAATATGATTCTAATGTTATGAATCACGTACCTCTTGTTGTTGCAATTTTTTATATCAAACATGTCATATATTTATTTGTAATAATATCATAATATATCTTCTATGATATTGTTATTAGAAAAATTACGAGGTGCATATGTTTTTAATAGGTAATTTTCACAAAATTAATGAAAAATTATTGTAAGTTAACGAGGTCCATAAGAGAGATCAGAGACGGATTAGAGCGTAATATATCTTTATCATTACTATTTTAAAACGAGGATAATAATTTTAGACAAAACTTAATGAAGTCTTCTCAGGAGAGAATTTCAAATATTCATTATTTAATACACATGTATTATAAAAAATTCAAACAAAAAAACCCAAAAATGAAATTACAAAGAAAACCAACAAAGATAAACCCGAGCACCGTAGTTTAAATCCGTGCGATGAGCCGGTACCGTCCATCTTCGTCGCTGTGTAAACTTCCATGCCATTGAGAATCGGAGGAAACTTAGAGCCACTGACCGGAGATATAGTAACATTCGCAGTACCTGAAACTTGAACAGGAAACAACGACACAACTTGACCAAACTGAGAAATATTCAGCTCTACAACGTTCCTCAATGCACCATCAATGTGAATCTCAAATTTTCTCGTATAATATGGATTCGTTGACAAGTTATAATCCAGGAAGTAGAACACAAAGTAAGCAGATTGTTGAGTGCTGTTTTTGAAATCAACGTTCAGATAAATAGAATCCGTGGCGTTTTCCGGTGAAATTGCATTCTTCAATAGATCATCTGGAGGTCGATTTTCCAAAGGCTGATTCAAGCACGATTGAGTTTCATCGCCACCAGAATAGGAAACGTTGAGATAACCCGGAACTGATTTTGGTTGCCAAACTCGAAATGTAATATCATAGCAAATGCTGAGGGATGAATTATAATTACTCTCACCACTGCAAATTGTAATCACATATATTAGTCACACGTTTTCATAGCAACGTAAAATTTTTGTTTTGATAATATTAACTTACTTATCTAAAACTTTGTTGAGGCCACCAAAGGCGTCTCTGCTGACAAGATTCAAGGCGGTATCATTGCCCATCAAGGAGTACATTGTGTCAATATCGTCAATCAACAAATAAGCCACCTCAAGAGAGGAAATAAACGGGACTTCACCTTGGCGAGTATGAACCAAACACACGCTGGTACTGTTACGATCAGCCTTAGGTTTGTAAAAAATTTCATGATAAATTGGCTGATCGTCAATTGAAGAAGTGTCCACCTTTGCCCAAAAATGGTTATCCAGAAGGATATCAAATGTTGGGGGCTTGGAAAGACCATCATAATTTCCATAGTAGAAACCAGCTCGAAATAAGAACTTGTATTGCGGATCCGGATACAAAGTGTAACAGTTCTTCACACCATCAGGGAAATATCGAAGAGTATCCATGAACCCTGGAAGGTTATTATTGTTTATCTGGAGAGTTTTGGTCTCGCCTGTAGATATAGAGCCTTCGTCATTCATCCATGGCCAACCGTCATAGTAGTCTTCTCGCGATACCGATCCACAGTCTAGTAGCACCCCTTGATAGTACTCTGCAAACATTCAATGTGAAAATAGATGTAAAAAGAAAAAAAAAAAATTTAGAACATTAACTAATAATAATGACTTTAAGGAAAAATCTAGATACTTACTGGAATATACTGTTTGGGGCAAAATGGCAGTAAAGAGTAGCAGAAAAATCAGCCATTTATCCATTAGTTTAGAGTTGGAGATATTGTGTGGAAGGAGATAGAAAGCTAGCTCTTATAAAATTTTCATGGGTGAGGTAGAGGACAACGTTGATATATGCATGGATGAACCCAATGGAATTGCATGTATAGCAGCTTAGTGTTTGGTAGTTAGAATCAAAAGCCGGCTTGGCTCTTAGGATCTTAAACTATATGCAGATTTTGTCTTATAAAAGCAATTCTAGCCAAAAGTTCTTCTCCAAAAACAGCTATGAAACAAGCACACTTCTAACTCTTTGTAGCAACATCTTTATATCTATAATGCAAAATACAACTTGTATTATTAATTAATTAAGCAATTAAATATTTATATAGTGACTAAGCATTGACAAATGCAATGTTATCGATCTCCACATATTTTACTTGTATATAAACGTTTATCTTATTATAGTTGTTATAGTTAATTATATAAGCAAGATTGTGTCAAGAAGTCTTCTCATAAGACAACTCCGTGCCGTATATCATGTGAATTGTCAATTGTATACGATGATAATAACAAGTTTCTTTTGATTTCTAATTAAGTTTATAATCTAATAAAAAATTGTCATTAAATTGAAACCATTAATTTTTTTTTTTTTGTTAAAAAAAGAAAGAATAATATTATATACAGTATACAAATTGATCACAAACACGGGCTTTTATGCGGTGATTATTTCCACAATTGAGTATTATTATTTCTCACAATTGAACAACGTTAGATCAAGATAATATTTTTAATTTTTTTTCATAACGTGATAGAACAAGTATTATATATCACTAATATAAATTAAATGTTACAAACATATATATATAATAATTAATTAATTTTGAATTATAAAAAATAGTAATAATTCAAATAATTACAATAGATATCACCATCAGATGTTTATTAGGGTACTGACCAAAGAAAAACTTGAATCAAAATTCAGTACACTAAAAGAGAAAAATTGAAACAAGAAATTAAAATTTATTTAATTTACTTAAGACAGATATAGGACATCTTCAGCTCACATACATAATTAAAATTTAATTAAGATATGTCATGTATTTATTTGTAATAATATCATAATATATCTTCTATAATATTGTTATTAGAAAATTTTTGAGGTGCATAAGTTTTTAATAGGTAAAGACAAATTTTCACAACTTTAATGAAAAACTTTGTTTAGTTGACATTTGTTATTGTAAGTTAAACGGATTAGAACCTAATATATCTCTATTATATATAACCATTTGGCTTGTGGCTAAATAATAAGACATTTAGTTATCTGGAAATTTTGTATTCGAATCCCACTAAGTGATCATCTACCACATTTGTGATTTACTTGACGCATTGGCTTGTAGGGTATGGAATTTGAGAAAGATTAGTTGAAGCATGCACAAACAGACCTCAGTCAAAATATATATATTTTTTTTTTGCACCAAACATAATAATTTTAGACAAACTTAATTAAGTCTTCTCACGGGAGAATTTCAAATATTTCATTATTCAATTCACTTTTATTATCAAAAATTCAAACAAAACAACCCAAAAATGAAATTACAAAGAAAACCAACAAAGATAAACCCGAGCACCGTAGTTTAAATCCATGCGATTCGTTACCTTTAACGTTAACATTATTATTAGATCCCATCTTCATAGCTGTGTAAACTTCCATGCCATTAAGAATCGGAGGAAACTTAGAGCCACTGAACGGAGATATAGTAACATTCGCAGTACCTGAAACCTGAACAGGAAACAACGACACAACTTGACCAAACTGAGAATTATTCAGCTCCACAACATTCTTGAATGCACCATCTATGTGAATCTCAAATTTTCTCGTATAATTTGGATTCCTTGACAGGTTATAATCCAGGAAGTAGAACACAAAGTAAGCAGATTGTTGAGTGCTGTTTTTGAAATCAACGTTCAGATAAATAGAATCCGTGGCGTTTTTCGGTGAAATTGCATTCTTCAATAGCGCATCTGGAGGTTGATTTTCATAAGCCTCATTCAAGCATGTGTTTTCATCGACATCAGAATAGGAAATGTTGAGATAACCCACAACTGGTTTTGGTTGCCAAACTCGAAATGTAATATCATAGCAAACGCCGAGGGATGAATTATAATTACTCTCACCACTGCAAATTGTAATCACATATATTAGTCACACGTTTTCATAGCAACGTAAAATTTTTGTTTTGATAATATTAACTTACTTGTCTAAAACTTTGTTGAGGCCACCAAAGGCGTTTCTGCTGACAAGATTCAAGGCGGTATCATTGCCCATCAAGGAGTACATGATTGGGGTATTTAATTCATATTCGATGAACAAATAAGCCACCTCTAGAGAGGAAATAAACGGGACTTCACCTTGACGAGTTTGAACCAAACACACATTTGTATTGTCACGATCAGCCTTAGGTTTATAAAAAATTTCATGATAAATTGGCTGATCGTCACTTGAAGAAGTGTTCACAGTTGCCCAGAAATGGTCATCCAGAAGGATATCAAATGTTGGGGGCTTGGAAAGACCATCATAGTTGCCATAGTAGAAACCAGCTCGAAAAATGAATTTGTATTGTGGATCCGGATACAAAGTGTAACAGTTCTTCACACCATCGGGGAAATATCGAAGAGTATTTATGTAACCTGGAAGGTTATTATTGTTTACTTGGATAGTTTTTTTTTTGCCTGTATATAAAGACTTCATCAGGTAACCATAACCAACCGTCATAGATGACGTCTATCGAATCTAATCCACAGTCTAAAGGCTCCCAACGATCGTACTCTGCAAAATTTCAATGTAAACTTGATAAAAAAGAAAAAAAAATTAGAACATTAGCTAATAATAATGACTTAAATAATCTGTTTGGGCCAAAATGGCAGTAAAGAGTAGCAGAAAAATCAGCCATTTATCCATTAGTTTAGAGTTGGAGATATTGTGTGGAGGGAGATAGAAAGCTAGCTCTTATAAAGTTTTCATGGGTGAGGTAGAGGACAACGTTGACATGAACCCAATGGAATTGCATGTATCGACTAGAAAGCAATTTAGCAGCTTAGCGTTTGGTAATTAGAATCAAAAGCCGGCTTGGCTCTTTTTAAATAATGTTAATAAATACTGGTTACAGATTAATCTTATTTCAATCAACTTCAGGTAAGTATATATTAATTGTTGACACAGAAATCTGTACCAACCAGCAAGATCCGATCGATCTTGTTGAGATCGGCACTTGTGGGCGTGCTTACGGGTAATCAACGATGAGTGAATGATAATGTCAGAAAGTAAATGACAAAGAGAACTTTTAAAGTGGTTCGGCAAAATTAAACTGCCTACGTCCACTGTGTTTTTTGTATATGCTATGAGAGCTTACAATGTCGTTGCAATCTAGAATTTGTATCCTCCTCCTCATCGTTTTAGGGGGTATATATACAAGATTTACATAAAGGAAAGAGTGAAATTAAGGGGATTACAAATGACTTGAATCACAATTCTGATATCTTTGCGATTGAGCGCTATGATCGCGCAACAATAGCTGTTGATCCAATCATTCCTATGATATTTGGGATTTGAAGTTATTTGGAGATTGATTGATTAATTCCTGAGATTGTCCGCGACTAGCTTGTGCTGGGTCGAGCTATGGCTCGACGAGCTTATGTTGGGTCGATCAATCATAATCGTCGAGGTCATTCTAGGTCGAGCTATATCCTCGCGTTGGCCCGAGCTTGGCAGAGAAACCACACATAACCTCTACCCCCTAGTGTTCGATGCTCGTTTCGGGCTTTGAAGACTATCGCTCTATCTAACGCCAAGCTCGGCTTCAATAGTGAGTCTTTAAGAGCATGCTCGATTGAGCTTCCACGACTGACCTTATGTCTGGTCAACGTTCTTCACACTTGAACATTATTACTTGTGCCACCTATCAAAATTCAGAATACAAAAAGTTAGGGTATAAATGTAATTTTTGTGTGGTTGTGTGCATTAAATGTGGCAGCCTTTGTCAGTTACGTTTCGTCACACGTGGTCGATGATAGCTATTCACGCACGAAGTTGAAACATCATGTGGCGACAGTTATTATTTTTGACGGTTTGTCACACCTCGCGGATAGTCGACATGTGGCCACATCCAAGGGCTGAGATCGCTCAACGAATGAAAGGCTAGGATCAGTTGTGAGTCGATGGTCGAGATTGAACTTCACCCTTTCGTCTTCCATGCAAAAATCACTATAAAAGGTGGCAAATATTCAAAACAGTCATTCTGAAAGTTCTCCCACCCTCTTGCTTTTCTCTATCGTTGCTCTTACATCATCGCGGTGGTCTTTCTTATGAGTTCTTAGTGCACTTCTTTATTCCAATAAGACTTTTTTCTCTTCCTTGCTCATTTTTCTGACTTTTGTGCTAAAGGATGGTTGCTTAGTGACCACATTGGATGTTTTAAGATTTTAGTAGGGTTTTTGGGGTGTGTTTCCAGTGGTCTCAGGTTTTAAAAAGGTTTAATCACGGTGGCTGTTGGTGTCCTAGGTAGGTCGCATGACTTCGTTGTGTTGTGCGAGCTATTTTGGGTGCCTTAGATGGAAGCGAATGTGGAATGGTCGCCGAGTTATTCGAGCTCTAACACATATTCGCTTCTTTTTTTAGGTACCTAGAGTCGAGCTGTAACCATGTCCTCATCTAGCCGTCGCACAATAGATCGAATGTTCAATTCACTGGTTGGCTCGGTAGTACTAGGGGACGTGTCCCCTGAGATATTCGAAGAGTTTGTTGCTAGAAGCTCGGACTCTGACGCTACGAACTTGTTCGACCGTGCTTCGATCTAACTGGCCCAATCCTTGCCGTCTCTAGTACACAAGCTAGGGAAATAACCACAATCCTCAATCACCCTCGGGGATCTTGAATTCATCAGGGTGGCCTATGTGTCGCAGCTTAACTTAATGGCCTCGGGAGAGCACTCTCCTAAGAACCCTCCAGCAGGATGGGTGACAACTTCTGAGACTCTCCTTAGGTGCGGGGTATCCATTCCTC